AGGCATTTTCCAGGGTGACTTTGTCTACGTGTGACTTTCTTCTTTCCGGCTGACTTCCAAATCCAATCCTGAGGTCAGATGTGGCTCATGTGTCTGAGATGGGAATCTTCTTCCCAGCACACTTTGGAGGTGTGTCGTATGACAGAGGAACTGGACGAGGCAAACTTGAGATGATCATCTAAATGCATCTTCCCCTGTTCCTAGTCCAGGCTTCATTTTGAGCAAGCTCTGTGTGGCTCGGGTTGATTATATCCCGTCACTTAGCAAAAGCCTATGTAGCCATGGAGGTCATCATTAAAATCAGTCTTGAAGCAGTGTAACATCCCCAAAACAGCTTAGTTTGGGAGGTCAGGCGAGTCTGGATTTTAAACCCCTGTGGCCTAAATGATTTTTCTGGGCCTCAGTTTTCTCATCTGTAGAATATTCAATAGAAATAACAGTACCTAGTTCAGAGTGTCGCAGTGGAATTAAATGAAATAATATATGTAGAACGGTTAGCAAAGTGCTTGGCACATAGTAGGTGCCTAATAATTAGCATTATTAGCATAATATCTATGAAATATGAATTGAGTGCTAACACAGTAGTAGTTCTAGGGGGAGATGTAGAAAGGTATAAGACTGCTTCCAGAGCTAAATTTCTGATGGAGGAACTTGCACATGAGAGTTGAACTAACCACAGAAGGAAGATGAGTGTCGCAGCCAAAATGCACTCCAGTGCTACTCAAAGTTCCTGTTTGTGGTGAATCAAGCTTGGGCCAGAACGGAAATCAGTGAACTGCCTCCTCCAGATAGATAGCCTTGCTCTGGAGAAAAACATCAGCTAAACTATCCAATGTACCCAGTGAAGTGTCTGACATCCATTCTGGCCCAAGCCTGGTGCTAAACTGTTGCCCAATCCTTGGGCCATACTTTAAGGATGGCTGCTCTTGGAGTCTGTGTTATGTCTGCCACTTGGGGGAGCCGCTTCTCTTTGGGCTAGACTAGATTGTGGATTTTTACAGGCAATCTGACATACGTTAGGACAAAGCAGAGAGCTGGTTAATTTGATGTCATACACTTTGTGTTTCATTAAATGCAGTTCCCCAGGATATACCATATTGCTTCCAGCCCTATCCTTGAAAATGAGCATCTTTTACAGCCAGGAGCTGTTGTTTCTCATCACCATGATCAAGGAGGTGGCAGCCGTGGGTTCTCCCTGCCTCTTTGCAAGGGTTCTTAATCTTATTTTTGTGTGTCATGGACTCCTTTGGTCAGCTGTTATATCTATGGACCATTTCTCAGGATGATTTTTTTTTTTCAGAATGATGGTTTTAATCATATAAAATAAAATCTGTAAGGTTACAAGGGAAACCAATTATATTGAAATACACTTACCAAAATGTTAAAAAGAATTTATGATGGTGATATATGTTTTATTATCAACATATCAAATAAGATCTAGCGGCAGGTCTAAGAACTACCATCATTTTGAAGATGAGTGTCAATAACGTTTTGACATATCTACAGCAACTGTAATGGGTTAAAAAAAACATCAGTCAAGGGGCTTCCCTGGTGGCGCAATGGTTGAGAGTCCGCCTGCCGATGCAGGGGACACGGGTTCGTGCCCCGGTCCGGGAAGATCCCGCATGCCGCGGAGCGGCTGGGCCCGTGAGCCATGGCCGCTGAGCCTGCGCGTCCGGAGCCTGTGCTCCGCAACGGGAGAAGCCACAACAGTGAGAGGCCCGCGTACCGCAAAAAAAACAAAAAACAAAAAACAAAAAAACAAAAACAACATCGGTCAAAAGTGCTATTCAGACTATTGTGGTTTGTTGGTTGCCTTATAATAAAAGGCAATGCCAGAATTTCAGTTAGAGGTTAGTGAAAATAAATGTGTTCTTTATTCATCCAAGTTCAAGGGCCCCCTGCTTTCCTTCTCTGGTTAAGAACCCCTGCCTGGGAAATGCCAAGCAGGGAAAAAAGGGAGTTCTGAACCATTTTATTACTTTTCCTGGGACAGATATTTTGGGTTCCTAGTAAAATCCAATTACAAGTTCAGGCCCTGGTGAAATTCTATTATAATTTCCATTTGCTTTATTCAGAATATGAATAAATACGAGTAAGTTTTCCCCCAGATCTGTATTTGGAGACCTACATTTCATGAAGGACTTAACCAAAGGCATCTTGGGTGGAGGATTTGCATAAAATATTCATTTCTCCTAATGCAGTTAAATGGATGCTCTTTCAGAAGATTTTCTTGCTTGCAGAGATGATCATAAAGTCATATCTATTCCCATGTGGAAGAAAATTTGTTACATGAAGAAGCTAGAAGGTTTAGGGCCCCGTTGGGGGCAATTTTCTTGAGGAAGCTTCAAACAGAGCCCAAGAGAGAAAGGAATCTTCGAGGATTGGAGTGATGGGGAGGCTTCTTGGAGCAGAGAGATAAACCAGAGTTCAAAGGGGAAGGAATGAGTTAGGTAAGAGATGGGAGGGATGGTAACAGGAGTGGGGCAGTCAGTAGCTTTGGCCCAAGGTAAGGAATGCAGGGAGGTGAGCCTAGACACGTTGCTGGAGTCGGTTTTGATGGACCTTCACCGATACACCAGGGATGTGGGATGTTATTGACAGAGGGGAGTCACGGAAGTCCTTTCATAGGAATAAGATAAAGACATTTCTGGTTTAGGAATATCAACATGACCACAATGTTTTGGATAAATTTGGGGTAGGAAGAAATTACGGGCAATAGTTTTAGGATCAGATGGCAAAACTGGATGGAGAAAATTATACCTATCCTAATATCTCCCATAATTGCCTAAGGATAGGATTCACCTGGAGAACTTATTAATTATACAGATCACCACGATTTTCCTCTGCAAATGATAACCCCAGTAGGGCTGGCATTTGACAGGGAATTTATCATTTTTAAAATAGCTCCATGTGATTTTATCTCCAGCCAACTTGGAAAATGCCCCCTGGGAATGTGTGGCTGATCAGATGTGAAATTGCATGTGACAGTGTCAAAGCAAAAACTGCGCCAGATCGAGTGAAACAGGCAAAGTAGATTTTATTCAAGGCTATCATAGGGAAGGAAAGCCAGAACTCAGTCTGAGCTCAACTCCACTGAAATAAAAGGTGGGAATAAAATACTAGAGGACTTTATGGGAGAGATTGATCCCTGGGATGTGTTGGGCACATTGAGTAATTCCTGAGCTTGCAAATGTTTTTCTCTGTGATTAGGTCACCTGTGTTTGCTAATTGGCACTCACCATTCCACCAATTAGCAAGTTAGGCTTCTACCTTCCCACAGAGACTGGCAAATAGGAGCCCAGTCTTTCTGGCTGATTACATTTCAAAGGGATGTCTCCTAGCCCCTGAGAAAGACCTGCTGGGGTTATAAAACTGGCTGAGGCTGGGAGAAGATTTACATCTCAGTGGAGCAGAGAAAGAATTTATGATGACACGTTTTCTGAAGTAAAGGATCTAAGAAAAGGGAGGTCAAGGCAAAGAGTCAGGAGAAGGCTGAAGTTTAGTCAAACTGAGGGGAACGATAAGCCCATCTTGGTCAAGGGTAAGGTACTACTGCTACTATTACTACTATGACTGCTACTACTGCTATCTTTAGGGTGGCTTCTCCCTGTTACAGAATGGAAAGGAAGAATCAATGCTAGGAATGGTAGGAAAGAAAAATCAACACGTCTTCCTAACCTAATGTTCGGAACTGGAGCGGCGGATACAGAAGAGTGAACAATCCGTGTCTAGTGGCCCTAGACATAGGGAGAATGGAGAGGCATTGGTGGAATTGGAATTTCCAGTTCACAGGCAGAGTGGCGGTGCCAATGAACTGGTCAAGCCTAACGCTCAGGTCCTTTGGTAGAAACAGCGCCCTGCACTCAGCACAGGTAGTTGACGAGAGACGGGAGAGGCAGCAGGGCTGCGGAAGCCTCCTCTGGATCGTGGTCCTTTCTGACTGAACACTGCAGAGCAGCCTGGACTGTGCATTTGTGATTGTCAACCTGTGTTAGCTTCACCTGACACACACACACACGTATGCATCTTGTATGTGTGTGTGTATGTATACATATATAGAAGTATTTAAAAGTAAATTACAGAAGGGTAAGCTGTGACAAAGCGAGAGAGAGGCATGGACATATATACACTACCAAATGTAAGGTAGATAGCTAGTGGGAAGCAGCCGCATATCACAGGGAGATCAGCTCGGTGCTTTGTGACCGCCTGGAGCGGTGGGGATAGGGAGGGTGGGAGGGAGGGAGACGCAGGAGGGCGGAGATATGGGAACATATTGTGTATGTGTGACTGATTCACTTTGTTATAAGGCAGAAACTGACACACCATTGTAAAGCAATTATACTCTAATAAAGATGTAAAAAAAAAAAAAAGTAAATTACAGGCATTTAAGCAGCTGAGTTTTATGGAAAACTGATGACTTCCATTTAGCCCAAGTTGTGTTCGAAATTTGTCAGAAAACTTGGTTGAGGAGGTTGGAGCTTTTAGAGGCATCCTGGGCAATGATTTCTGAAAAGGTTATAACGAAGCCATGGGAGCAGAGAAGATTTTCACAAAGTTACTGGGGATGTACTACGACATTAACGTATCTTATTCTCTTTCAAGGGAGTAAGTGTAAAGGAGGAAGAAAGGAGGTCTAAGAATTCCTAGTCCTCCTGGGCAGGAGTGGCTGGTCCCAGGGTTGCCTGCTCCAGTGAGGTCTCTGATGCTAAGAACTGTAAAAGGTACAGTTGATTTGCTCATGGAAGTTGATTTGCTCATGGAACACCAGGCTGAGAAGAGCATCAGTAAAGTGTTCTGGGGGAGTCAGATGCAGGATTTAAGAGTGAGTGGTAAAAAAAAAAAGAAGCCAGGGGAGCAAATGGCTTTTCTAGTAAGTCTGGTTTTCAAAGAAAGTAAGATGTAGGGAGAGAGCAGGAAAGTTACAGGATTAAGTTACTTGGGATATGTGATATTAATGTGTTTTACTTTTTTCCAGTTACTTTTTTTAGTGATCAGAAATGAGTGAACAATCAGAAAAAAACAATTCCACGCAAGAGAGACATGCAGGTCAAAGTTCTCCTGAGAAAAACTGTCAAATCGGACAGAAGCAACTGGTATGGCTCGTGGATACTATGATTCCATGGTATTTGGGGAGTTCGCAACTTGGGGATCTCTGAGATGCCCCAGATTTGGGTGGGAAGGTAGGCCCCATCAGGAATCCACAGGAAGGATCTCTGCTCCTTAGTGCTAATGGGGCTTCTCCTCGTCTTCACCCCGCTTTCATGAAGCTGGTCTCATCTTACCTGTCTCCTCTGTGCCTCTCAGTCCCCAGCATCCTGTGCAATAAAATCTTACCCTTGGAGTAGAAAATTTGTAGAGAATATGGTCAAATATTTTTATTTAACAAATCCTTGGGGTTTTTTTTCCCATGATATGCTAGTACCTGTTCTAAAGCTTGGTATATGTTAATTCACCTAACCCTTATCACAAGATACTGTTGTTAACCCATTTTGCAAAAGAAGAAACCGTGGCTTAGAAGAAGTAGGAACTTGCTCAAAGCACTCCAGTAACAAGCGGCAGAGCCAAAATCTGAACAGAGGCATCTAAACTCTTGCTTTGCTACTGAGAATAATAGTAGATCGTGCTAAGTTGTGTTTATTGCGCAGCTATACCTAAATACAGAATCGTTTCATAAGGTTGTTTGTAAAACAAACCCACACACACAAACCAAAATGAAGTTTTAAAGAAACATACCTGTATTATTTTAGACTGACTAGACTATTATTATTAAGCTAAAGAAACTGCAGAAAAGCCCGAGATTCTGTTACTAATTTGTTACCTTGAAATTCATACATTGAAAGTGTCCCTTTGGTTTCGAAATGTAGTATTTCATATATGTGTTAGCCTAAGTGTTTTGGGGCCGCTCAGATTATTTTCTTCTAAAATCCTTCAGAGGAGCATTCCCTTCACTCCTGACATATGTGCTGCAAGTTCAAAATTAATTATCAGGACTGATTGAAGTATCTTTATTGCTTGTCTTTCCAATTAGGCCCCATTTAATTTCGAATTATAAATATCCCAAAACAGAGACTTGTGAAAATTTCCACTAACACGCTATTTTGTCATTCAAGCCAGATTTTCTTCTTGCAATCTGGCTTTGACTGAGAGGGGATCCTTCAGGTGGCTGCATTCTGCATCAGAGCCCTGATGGGGCAGTGAGTGCTGAGATGCCCTAGAGCACTGAAGGGGAGGGTTGTGTGTACTGTGTGTTCTCACTGTGTTTTGAGATACCTTACCTGGGCGAAGGGCTTTTACTCCCTTGTCATTATCCACCATAAAATGGTAACTCTGACTTTCATCCCCAGCAGATTTGAGAAGCCAAGGGGTGTTTTGCAGGTATAAAGGGAATTCTTCTGTTCCCCTTTGATTGTTTTATATTTTTTTATTATACATAGTTTTACACTATGTATTTGTTTATTCAAAAAGAATGACCTAATTTGAAAAGTTTTACATCATCTTTTGAAACTTAATCTGATTAAATTGTTTATTACTCTAGCTAAAACAACTAAGCTTTCATGCCATTATGGTAAAAGTTACAGAAACTTCATTTTGATGCTGTGTAAAGCAGATCAAATTATCTGGTTCTTACTACTAATATATTTTATTTGTTTATTTGTTTCATAGCAACAGATAGAGCGACAGTTAAAATGCTTGGCATTTCAAAATCCCGGACCACAGGTAGCAGACTTTAATCCTGAAACAAGGCAGCAGAAAAAGAAAGCACGAATGTCAAAGATGAATGAGTATTTTTCTGTAAAGTACAAGTAAGATCATGATTTATTATATTTAATCTGCGGGATTACAAAATGCGTGAATTCTCCTTGACAAAGCAATTAAATGTTGCCACTTTTTTATTATTTAAAAATGTATTTTCTAAAGTACAGTATCACCCCTTATGTCTGGAAGTTAGCAATTTCAAGAAATAGACTATAATCTCCAACTAGGCATCAGTTTTCTGTTTTTTGGGTTTTTTTTTTGCGGTACACGGGCGACTGCAGTGGCCTCTCCCGTTGCGGAGCACAGGCTCCGGACACGCGAGCTCAGCAGCCATGGCTCACGAGCCTAACCGCTCCGCGGCATGTGGGATCTTTGCGGACCGGGGCACGAACCCGTGTCCCTTGCGTCAGCAGGCAGACTCCCAACCACTGCGCCACCAGGGAAGCCCAGCCATAGGCATCAGTTTTTTAAAAACAGGCTTCAGAAGTCCTTGCACTAGAGTAATGGCTGTAGTAGGAGAGATGATTAAAAGTAAGAAAGATGTGCATTAGAAGGAGAAATAATATAACCATGGGAATGAATTCAAGTATCAGATGGGCACAGAAGTATCATAAATTCAATTATTGCTAGCACACCAGAAGCATAAATTAAGCAGACCATCAAGGAAAAGGTTGATATATTTGACTACATTAAAATTAAGAGTTTATGCCCTTTAAAAGACATTCTAAAAATAAGGAGAGACAAATCACAAGGTGGGAGAAGTTATTTATGATCTAAAAGATCAATATCTAAAATATATATGAATCAATAAGTAAAAGATAAACATCCTAAGAGAAAAACGAACCCAACAATGAACAAGCATTTCATAGAAGAAAAGGCTAGTGAACACTCAGGAGGCTAAACCTTATTCATTGGTACAGTATGGGGAAGTGCCCCCCTGACCAGATGGGCCAAGAGTTCAGTCTTATGATATCACTGTTGATGAAGCTATGGGACATGAATTAAGTGTAAAATAGTACAGCCTCTGTTTTTTTTTTTTTTTTTTTTTTTTGGTGCACGGGCCCTTTCGCCTCTCACTGTTGTGGCCTCTCCCATTTGCGGAGCACAGGCTCCG